GGAGTCTCTGGCCATGAGGGATTTTATAGTATTGTACACAGGAGGGCTGTTACCCTTCCCTTTACAGTTATGACAGTGATCCATGAAGAGGTTGGCCTATTGGGGAACCCTTACCCGTGGTTTTGACAAACTGTTTGTTGTTGAATGTAAAATTGTTATGGGTGAGGATGAAATGGATGAGTCTGGCAATGTGTTTGGGGTGGATATTGGAGGGTTGTCCATTGTTTTGTAAATATTTGAGGCAGGCAGCTACACTATCATTGGTGTATAGAGATGTGACATCCATGCTAGCAAGCATAGGCACCGACTTCCCCTCTTTTCCCTGGGTGCTTGGACCACCTCCCCGCCCCCCAGTCCCTGTTCCATCCCCACTCCACCCCTTCCAAGAGGCCCCGCCCTTGCCCCGCCTCTTCCCACCCTGCCCCCATTCCAACTCCTTCCCCAAATCCCTGCCCTGGCACCGCCTCTTCCTTGCCTCCTCCCCGAGCACACCACGTTCCCGCTCCTCCACCCCCCGGGAGCGTGCCAGCGCTACCAGCTGTTTGGTGGCAGCCGGGTAGGAAGCGCTGGGAGGTAGGCGAGGGAGAGGGGACGCGGTGTGCTCACGGGGAGGAGGAGGTGGGGCGGGGGGTGAGGGGAGCTTGGCTGCTGGTGGGTGCAGAGCACCCACTAATTTTTCCCCGTGGGTGCTCCTGCCCTGGAGGATGTGGGTGCCCTGGAGCACCCACAGAATCGGCGCCTATGGTAGCAAGGATTACCCATGCAGCAATGGATGATTTTTTAAAGCCAGTCTCATGATTTCTTGGGCAGAGGGAGGCTGACATGATTTTTAATGTTTGCGGTTGACAGCACTGACACCCCCAGTGAGCCAGGCAATTTAAACACTTAATGCCCCACCCACCCTCTACTTGGTCCCCACTCTTAGCCTCCCCTCCCATTGTCAAGTTCCTTTGGGGGATGGGAGTGGGAATAGGGTGACCAGATGTCCCGATTTTATAGGGACAGCCCCGATATTTGGGGCTTTTTTTTATATGGGTTCCTATTACCTCCCACCCCCTGTCCCGATTTTTCACATTTGCTATCTGGTCACCCTAGGTAGGAACCATTTGTGCTCAGGCAAGTGACTATTGAAATGATGTCATCTAACTCACTAGCCCCACTCCCAGTATGTGTTCAGAGTCCTGGCTGCTTACTTTAGTCACAAAAGGACAACTTTACTACTTTCTCCTGGAAAGGTAATGCAGCTATGGGAGAGCCATCTGGATTCTTTTCTGTCTCACATGTCATAATTAGAATTGTTAGCTAAAGGGGACAGAATTGTTAATAAGAGGGGCATGATCAAATTATATGAAATAATATGAATGGAAACATTCCATTGGATTTTTTTTAAACCCCCCTCCCACATACACACACACACACTTTGGTAATTGAACCACTTGTGATCTATCTGCATTTCCTAAAGATATTTGCAGATAGTCCAAACAAGCTACTAGATGGGGTCTCCTGATACATGGATGGCACACTCCCATACATACCTTTCTACCCCAAACATCCCACTCTAATCTTGACGAAGCATGGTTTAAAACACCTGTTGTTGCTGGAACCTAGCACCTCAGAAATATTAGATAAGATTCTTCACATCGTATGTTTCTGAAATTTCAAATATCTTGTCAGTCATGAATAAGGCCCTTTGTTTTCGGTTTGTGTTTTATTTAATGTTTCCCAGCAAGGG